GATGGTCGATGTGGTCCTCTTTTCTTGTCGACATCACCAGCATATCGTCGATATAGACTTCCATAGTCTTACCAAGCTGTTCTTTGAACATTTTGGTGACCAGCCTTTGGTACGTAGCCCCTGCATTTTTGAGCCCGAAGGGCATTACCTTGTAGCAGTAAGTCCCTTGGTGGGTGATGAAAGTCGTCTTCTCCCGGTCCTCCTCGGCTATCATGATTTGATTGTAGCCGGAGTAGGCATCTAAGAAGCTCAACAGTTCATGTCCTGCGGTGGCGTCGATCAATTGGTCGATGTGGGGTAGTGGGAATGAATCCTTTGGGCATGCTTTGTTCAGATCGGTGAAATCCACACACATTCTCCACTTCCCGTTTTTCTTTTTGACCATGACGACATTGGCTACCCAGTGGGGGTACTTCGATTCTCTGATGGAGCCGTTGGCCAGTAACTTGTCTACTTCCTCACTGACTGCTTCATTGATAGCGGCGTTGAATTTCCTTCTCATCTGTCGCATGGGCGGATGTAATGGATCGACATTCAGCTTGTGGGTGGCGATGTCCCGCGGGATTCCCGGCATATCTGAATGGGAAAAAGCGACCAAATCTGCATGGTTAGTTAGGAATTCACGATACTTACTTGGGTTGGCGAGGCCATGCCCGATGTAGGCTTTCTTCGTAAGGTCGGTGTCGTCCAATTGGACTGGGTCGAGATCTTCGACCGTTGCTTTACAGGCTTCCACGACGTCGGGATCTCTAACGGCGTCCGTTGTAGGGTTGACCTTAGTCCCCGACACAACTAATTGTTATGCCTCCGCGCTCGCCCCCCTCAACTGTTGGGTGTGGGCGCAATCTTGAGCTATTTTGTAGCATTCCTGTGTGGTGCGCGGCTCGCCTCGAATGCTGAATACTCCCCATGGGGTAGGGAATTTGATCACTTGGTAAAGGCTTGAAGGGACCGCTCGCACGGCGTGTATCCACGGGCACCCTATGATGATATTGTACGCCGTTTCCTGGTTCATCACGTGGAAAGTTGTTTCCAGCGTGACTCCTCCTGCTAAAACGGGCAGTGATATTTCTCCGGATGTCCGTTCCACTGCATTGTTAAAACCAGTTAGTGTTATGCAACGCGGTATTACCTTATCCTCGAGTCTTATTTGTACGAGGACCCTAGGGTGGATAATACAGGCACCGCTTCCGTCGTCAATCATGATTCTTTTAACATCTGTATCAGCGATGCGTAAAGTAATAACTAAAGCATCGTAATGAGGGAAAGACAAACCGTCGGCATCAGACTTATCGAAGGTGATACTATCTTCGAAGTCGTCATACCGTTCATGGGCGATGGTCCGCTTTAGTTTGTGCGTGGTGGTGAACTTGACGTGATTGATTGTCAAGTCGTCGCCGCCTCCGACAATCATGTTTATCGTGCGTGCTAGGGAAGGCGGCTTCGGCGGCCCGTAGGGTTGTTCCTGTCCGCGTCCCAAGTTGATTTTCCCTTTGTCACTGAGTAATTCCCTCAGGTATCCCTGGTTCAGCATCCTGACCACCTCGTGCCGTAGGCCTATGCAGTCTTCAGTTTTGTGTCCCCGTTCCTGATGGAACTCACATAGGACGTTTGATTTCCTCGTGGCTGGGTCTGATTTCATCTTCTGCGGCCACTGCACTTTGGTACCCAGCTTCTCCAATGCGTACACTATTTCTGAAGGAGACACACAAAAGTTATGGGCGGATAATAAATGAGGCGTACCTCTTTCATTTCGGAGTGGGGGACGTGTCGCTGTAGCGCGTCCGTATGCCTTGGTGGTGGATGGGAGGATCTGGTGTATGGCTGGTGTCGGTCTTTGTTGGAGCGTGGGAGTTGTTCTCGCCGTCCTTCATTGCGTCGATCCCTCCTTGTTTCTGAGTGTATCGTTGTTAGCCGTTGGGTCGGACTATTAAGATCATCCTCGTCCGCTCGTACCTCAGCGCAATAGGCGTTGTGAATTTCCTCCCTTGTGGTAGGGGGATATTTCATGAGGCGGCTTAGTAGCTTCTTAGTTGCCCTCGAACCATCCCTGTTTAGTCCGTTCTGGAAAGCGGCGACTGCCATACCTTCCGATACGTTTGGTAGACTCATCCCTACCCTATTAAACCTGGCTAGGAAGTCCCTGAGTCCCTCCCCTGCGGTTTGCCTGACGGCGAAGATGTCGTTGACCCTTGCTTCCGCTTTCTTCGCACCTGCATGGGCGGTGACGAACTTATCCGCCATTTCCTCGAACGTTGATATCGCCTTAGCTGGTAGTTGAGAGTACCACGTTAGGGCCCCTCCTGTCAACGTCTCACCAAATTTCTTCAGCAGCACCGATGGTATCTGTTCTTTTGATAGGTCGTTGCCCTTTACAACAGTGACATAGTGGATCAGATGATCCTCGGGATCTGTGGTTCCGTCATATACCCTCAAGTAGGGTGGCATCTTGAAGGTTTTTGGGATAGGGTAAGGGGCAGCTTCTTCAGTGTATGGTTGTTCAACGAACCTCCCCACGTCGCGTTTCGGTAGCAACTTGGGAGCGCCGGGGATCTTGTCTACCCTCTCCTGATGTTCTTTCATTTGGTCGCGGAGTGCCTTGTTTTCATTCTCCATTTCTTCCATCTTCTTTAGGATGGCTGTTAGCGTGCCGTCGTTGGTCTGTGCCTCGATGGGTTTGTTATTTGCTCGTGCAGCTTCAGGTTCACCCACGACAGTAGTGGTACCTACCGTTGGTATACACTTGACGTTACTTTGCGGTGACTTCTCAACCAAGCCACTTAGAGTGCTTGTTAGCCATTCTTCCAGTAGCTTCTTGACCACCGAGGGTGCTTCCTTAGCCGCAGATGTGGAAGCTCCTTTTTCATGCAAGATCGTCAGATCTTCGGATGGGGAAGATGAGATCTCTGCACCTGGCATGATGCTAGGGGTTGCATTCAAAATGCCCTCGTCGCCGGCCTCGTTGAGAGGATCAAGGAGATTGGCTGTAACACCCACTATTGCTTTCATTCTGGTGTTGTTTTCAGCCATCTTTTGTTTTCGTATGGTGTAGAGAATGGTAGTTGGTTGCTCTCTAGGTGGATACTATGATTTTGATTCTCGAAATCCCCACAGACGGCGCCAAATTGTTTGGCTCAAAAGTTATCGATATACTTTGCGAGCTTAAAAACAATCAAAAGTAGGAAAGGGTAAATCGTAATCAAATATAATAGACCTAGAGATGAAAAATGAAGTTGTTGTTGTAGATCTAATAGTGAAAAATGATAATATGAACTCCAGAGAAAGTATTCGTTAGAGATAGAGATAGAGAGAGAATAAGAGAAAATGAGAGAGTTGTATTCTTTCAGCCCCCTTTTACAATGTGAAGGTCTCCCTTACATAGTAGGAGACCTTCCTCGAAATAATAAAAAAGATACAAAAATAGGTAACGTTTTCCTAGTGAAGACACTGAGCCTTAAACGGTGTCGCTTTTGTTCCCACGCCCAAGTCGTGCCCTTGCGTTAGTTGATGTATACTCATTGGGCATACCCGTTGGCGTAGAGACGTTGACGGTCAAATTTGACCCTATACATTTACCAAACGCGTAGATAAGCCGAAAAGTGCTTATAAGCTAGTTTAACCAGCTTATAGGCTTAGCCAAACATCCTCTAAGCTTTGGAACGATTAACATTTTGGCAACTAGTTTCCTACATTTGACAGCTTAAGTAACAACGTGGGATTGAATTTCTGCAGGTCAAATTCAAAATTAAAAATAGAGACGCATTTCCGCTCGATTCAACTCCACAGAAGTCTAACCCCATACATATTATATTATTAACTTATCTTTTTAATATTTTAGCCTTAGGCTTTTTAACGTCATATAATCACAAAAATGACTTTTAACCAAGAAATGGGTCCTAGCCGCTAAAATACAATTTCAGGAAGTTTGCTGAAGACCACCGTGGCACACACCATACTCCTTCCCTTTTATCCTTTTTTGGGTTTTCCATTCCTGGTATTGGTAGTAATAGCAAAACGATTTTCCTTGTAAATCCCCTAACTCTAACGTGGATGGCTTGTCTTCGGCCAAATCAGATTTGGTGCAGAAAAGTTAATACGAGGACATCAATTGCTAATCTAGCAAAAAAAGGAACAAAGAAAAAGGCCAAAAAGGGTGTAGTAGCATCAATAAATTGTGCAGGAAACGTAGTTCATCTCCGACCAAAACCTAAGTCTGATGACAAAATATTTCCATAAGTTTGAAAGTGGAATTCAAAAAGTGGCCGGTGTGTCATACTGATGCTGATTTGCTGATGGAGGACTACACCATTCACAATTTAATTCAACTTCTGCACCATTTCTACAGAAGCTCAATAATTTATTTCTTTAGTCATACATGGATCACTTCCTTCTTCGGGCTTGCCTTCGCTTTCTTGACTATTTCAACCACTACTGACGTTAAAAGAAAATATGATGACCCAGTAACATAAAGGGCTGTGCAATAGCTGAGATGCAAAATATACTGCCTAAACCTACATTAATTCTCAGAAGTCAAGAAACAAGGTGGAAATTGAAAGGACATGAATTAATGGGACTGTGGGAGCATCTGTTTCGAGCGAGACACTTGCATACCATAAATGTGTCACTCATAACATATCATTATCAGATTGGACCTTTTTCTAACTTTTTCATCATAGCAAATTTTGCCAAAGACGCGGCCGCAACTAAATATTATTGCCATTGATTTCCATTCATTGCCGCCTTTCACTGCCATATGCTTTTAACAAATAAAATAGCCCACGTTGAACATGCATTTTTCTTTTGCATATTCCGTCCAACTCCTGCACTCATTAATCCAAGTAAAATTACTCACTATGCCCATTTTTTGCTTCAAGTACTTTATTGGTATATGGTTAGGACAACCCAATATTTTTAACAACTGGTTTCCCTTAATAGTGATAAAATATTTGGCCCTACGGCTTTGGAATTTTCCATGAACATCAGTGATTCTTGAATACTAATTCCATCAACTACTTTTTTGCCTAAAAAGTTTCAATTCGCTTGATTAAGTTAGTGAACATTACAGATTTCAAGTCACATGGCTTTGATAAACAAAAAATTGGGCCAATTCATGTGTACTCACCACATGCTTCTTGTTGCTACCTACTGCATGCATTCACAAAATTTATATTACAATTGGAGTAACGAAGAAAAGAATTAAGCAATAATCATATTTTTCAGAAGCTGGTATGCCATATTGCTCCATTGCCCTCTCCACATCGCTGGTGGACCTCTTCCATCCTTTCTACTGATTTACAAATTCCGCTACAGCTCCAATCGAATGATGCAGCACAAGTGTTCCCTGCTTGGGTCTTCCACTCGCAGTCTTTCAGTTAAGAAGGCAAATAATCCAGTCACGAAAATGAATGTAATAATGCACTGTCAATAGCAGTGGTGTGTAAACTTCAGGGGGAATTGCACAAAGAATGGACTAAACTATTCTTGAGCAATAGTTCAAACTCATCTGATAAGACCAAACCAGATAAGATCGTCCTGTGGAAGCCTAACTAATGAAGAGTCTGCTTGTTGCCTCCAAATAATGCGTGAAATCCAGGCTAAGTGATAACACAATCAAGTACTAAATTTTGAGAGTAGGCAGAGATTGGATTAGGTTGATTTACACAGCGAGCTTCGTATTCAGTCCAAGCACTATGTTGGCACTCTCTAAGGTAAGCACTATTGTTTTTGATGGAAATATATGCCAGAAGGAGTAATAATCATCCAATGGATTAGAAATGGAGGGTTGGGTTTCCCACTGACCGTAAATGGAAGTTGGTGCTTGCAATTTTTGATAAGAAGTTTCAAACCCGAACTTGTAGGGAAGATTATGAGGACTAGTTAGGGCAGAAGCATCATCGTACAGCAAAAAAAAAAAAAAAAAAAATTAAGGACTCTAGACCAGAGTAAGAGCAATTAGCATCAATGACTTCAGTGGCCTCTATGTAGGGTAAGGCTGCGTACAAGAGACCCTTGCGATTCGACCCTCCCCGTACCCCGCGCATAGCGATTAGTGCACCGGGTTGCCCTTTTATCTTCAGTGGCCTCTATGCCTTTTGCCAAGGTGCAAATTGCAGTGAATACTTCATTGGAATTTCAGATAAATTTCCATGTGATAACATATATATACCTATGTACAACTGGGCTATGGTAAATTATGAAGAACTTGTTTGAGTTTTAGACGAGCTCTGTCAACAATCATCAACTCTGATAGCAGAAGGAAAAGACCAGAAACCACTGCATCGCGTAGAGAATTCAAGTAAATACGCGCTAGCGTCTTACCTGGGGGTGTTCCACAGCACAAACTTCGTTCATCAATATGTTCAACATCAAGCCCAATAAACCAAGAGCCAAGAGAAACATCTTCATTTGCATACCTATGGAGAATGTGTCTGAAGAGAAATTCTTTATGAATAAACAGTATGTAACCAATAAAGCACATGGATGTGCAACAAACAGAACCTAGAGAAAAAATTTATGAAGCAAGAGGTATACCCATTGATCGATACGTAGGTAGCCAAATCCTTGGAGATCGCATATATTTGTCCGGTTGCATGCCTAAAATACTTATTTCCCTCCTCACCAAATTTCCAGTATTCTGGTTCTTGGTACTTCATTCCTCTGCACAAAAAGTATGTCACACTTGGAAATTTGAACCTAGAAGCAGAACTGTAGAAGCTCATTAGGATCTACAATCTTACTTCTGTGAGAGAACAGGTCCAGATTTCATGCAACCAATATACACACGAGGTTTAGATCGATGACGGTCTAAAATTGAACCTACAACACCTGTGACAAAATATGCAATTAGTATTAAGCACTCTCCTACTTAGTGTTGTGAGGATGCATCATCAACTAAATTTTAGATTTATATAAACCTACCGCAATCCTCCTCCCTTATCCAGGCTTGGGATCGGCACTGTGAGCAAGCTACACAGGCGTTACCAATTAATTGGAATTAAGTTTTAGTCATATTGGTAGCAATGTTCACGATGAGTCCATTAATCTTGTTAGAGATTTATATGCTAGTAGAAAATGTTGAGAACCTTTATTTCTAGAGAACCTAAATTTTTAAATATTGGATTTGACATGTTCACTGGAGCAACATGGATAGTAAAAAAATAGCCAATCAAACTAGCTAGGATTTTGAGGCGCAGTTGTTGTACTCTTCTAATTTATATGGACCTACAATTGTTCAGATAAAAAATTCAAACAAGTCTGTGCTAACCCAGATTGACATGTACATCATCATCAACTTTAATAAAGAAGTCAGCATCCCACTTTGCCGCTACAGTTGAAAAGTATATTTGAGTCTTAGAGGACAGCTCATGATATCCTTCCACGTGATTCTGCAAGACGATGTTATATCACGTAGTAAAACAGTCAAGTGCTCAGTCCACAAAATCCAACCGAAGCTTTAAAGAGTTATGACACGACTTCTGTTCTCTCCCTCATGTTGACAGAACTATCAAGGCATATCGTAGATAATAGACTTGAAAATAACAAGACATGCTGCAAGTGAAGATCATGCAATATGGAAATGATAACAGGAGGAAAGAAGATAAAGAATAAAGGAGTACTGTACTAAACATTACATGCATGCCAAATCAAAGGACCTCTATTTCTACATGTTATAAACACACTCATGCAAGTTTATATTTATTCATAAATGCATGAACTGTTAAGAGAATTAACAGCATGTATAAACTGTAAATTGTTAATGCCATACGTTTTTTTTTATCAGGAAGGTGAAAGATTGCCAATGCCACATGCATATACAATTGAAATGTTTTGCTATTAACTTCTTATGGAATGCGGTAGAAGAGGAACTCAGCGAAACTAAAACAGAGTTAAAGTTAAAATGCTATTAGACAAACATGAAAGCATGAGATGGAATAAGATAAGAGTTTTTAAATGGCATGCACTAAAAGCAGCGAACTTACCAGTCGTAAGAAATCATTATGTTGTGCATCCTCAGCATCTATAGCACGATCCAAGACTCCACCGGGGGTTGCACTGGATATCATCTCAGGCCATTATTAATATGAAAAGAAAATGGTGATTGCATGACAAATTTCATTTCTAAGAATAATTCTATCTCCGATGTCAACTTACCTGTGCCCTATCACAAACCGTATAATGATGCCCTTCTCCTTTTCCAACTTTCCTAGATCCTCCCCTATATAGTTAATCAAACAATGTTAACCAACAACATTTAGTGGTGTATAAAAATTTTCATATAAGGTTGGTAACTAAACCTTGAGGCATCCAAGTTTCCCTAATTGAATCCCTGCGCTTTCTGCTGCTGAAAGCAGTGATGATTCCCATTACAAAGAAAACCTTAGGGCGGTTATTCAAAGGTTCAATTACTGGTTTCCTATCAGCAGTAGATCTTTCTTCTTTTTCTGCTTTAGCAGATCTGGCGGCAGCGAGCTTCATTTCCAGAGAAGATATGGTTTTGTCCAATGCCCTAAAATTTTTGTGGCACCAAAATGCTATTGAATTATTAAGCAGAATTAAAGATGAGAATCAAAACTTAAATTCTGCTGTATAATCACTAGTTTGGGAGCTATGAACTGAAGGAGGGCACAGAAAGTTACATGATGACATCATGTGTTTTGGAAACTTGGGAGAGGATATCTCCTGCGACCAGAGAAGTATCCTGCATCAACATCAACAACACCGGAAAATTAATTTATCTAGTTATATTGTTAATCCATGAGAACCTAGAATGTCACCTTCCTACTGACTTGCCTTTTTCTCACACTTAAGAAGAGGACGAAGTTCCTGTGACTTATGGTCCTCAGATATAGCATCCTCCACAGTTCTAACAGGACCAGGCACTGTCAATAACCTACGAAAAAAGTAATGCAACAGGTTGTCAAGTTATACTGTTGCAAGACAACTAACATAAATGCAGATCACATAAAATCCAACTACTTTAATTTGGTTATTCAGTTATATTTTTTTTTTCGATTTTGGGAAAACACTACCTGCCGCAGCAGGTAGTGAAGGGGAGCCTTGGCGTAACTGGTAAAGTTGTTGTCATGTGACCAGAAGGTCACGGGTTCAAGCAATGGAAACAACCTCTTGCAGAAATGAAGGGTAAGACTGCGTGCAATAGACCCTTGTGGTACGGGCCCTTCCCCGGACCCCGCGCATAGCGGGAGCTTAGTGCACCGGGGCTGCCCATTACTACCTGCCGCAGCACCAAATGAGCCATTAACATACCACATTATCCTAATTGAACTATCAAAAGATACTGCATGTGCGAGCTTATTATGACTTGAAGGATTTCAGAAGATCCCAGTGGCTTCAACCAAGTTAGTCAAACTAACGAGTTCACCAGTGTCTCCAAGGCCAAACGTCACAGTAAAATTCTGAACTTATTAGTAGCTTTATCTTTTCTGGAAAGAATATAATTCATTTCTTCAAGGAAAACAGGCAAAGGTGGAAAAGATAATGAAGAATTAGAAGCCCCATTGACCAACATTTATATTCTAATCCATTTTATACATCATTCTAAATAACAGAGGGTCCACGTAGAAACAAAGAACCAACTTGTCTGTTCAATTTCAACCTCATTGTCTAAACAATTTACTGTACAACATGGGCAAAGATACTAAAGCATTAATGAAATGCACCATTCTTGTGTCAATATGGCAATTATTCATCCATCATCAACTCATTGAATTCTGAGGCAAAAGCAGCAACCCAAAATACAAAAACCAAAAGTTGAACAGAAGGTAAAAACCCTGACATACAACTCTATCACTGTGGTTTGAAAGGGTCTTGAACCTAAAAATCTAAGCTTGATCACATTATACTAAAAAGACCGCATTTTGCAACGACAACAAGTCTCCAAGATCTGTTAAGCGAAGTTTGTAGTAACTAATTAAGGAAAAATAAATGGGAAATGCTTTCGAGCAAAGATGATTACGATTAAGGAAGAATGTACCTGCTGACAACAAAAACACCTAAGCAGAAGCTGGCAATGCAAAGCACAGAGACCCATTTACTGGACACACCATTTGCACCAGCAGCCTTGTACGCTCCTGACCTGCTTCCTATCTTCAACCCCATTTTTCTTTTCCAAATCCACACAGTAAAGCTGCTTCAGTGCTGAAGCTGAAACTTCCTTTCTTTTTTTTTTTTTCAATTTGAAATTAAGGACAGAAAACTAATGACCCTCATTGCAAAAAGAGCACACGCGCTATCATTATCAGTTTTACTAATGTTTTTAAGCTAAAAGTATTGGGAAAGGGATGGATTTTCAAAACCAAGAACAGGAGAATGAAGGGACTAGGTTGCAAATACACAAAACTTCATGCCCTCTGTTGCACAGATTAATATAATTTCAACAAGAAAGACAAAAAGTCAGAACAGCTTTAACTGGCCGCGAGTCTTCTCTTTATGCTTCTTCAATTACCACTTTGTCCTTCACTTTGAACAACTGAATGTTATGAAAAAAATATTATTCCAATAATGGATATTATTATTGCTAATAATGGATAATTATTGCTAGCATGTTAAGCGTTTTTTTATCTTAAATAAAGAGCAGGAGAAAAAAAATAAAGGAAAGTTTAGCACGTTAAGCATTTATAATTCTGAAAGAACTGGCAGATATTTGAGTTAATGTGCTATCACAATTAGAACTAAAAAACAATTTTAATTATAGCGATAGAAGCAAAGTTGAGCAGGTGGAAGCAATATGGTATCATTAGGTTTGTGGAGTACTAAATAAACAGTTCAACCAATGATACCATATTGTCTCGTCCAAATTTCTTTTATTTGTTGGTTGAATTGTTTCTTTAGTACTTTCTCTATTTCATTTCATGTGGCACATGTTTTAATTTGTTTAAAAAAGAATATACATATTTTTATATTTAACAATTTAATTATAAACTTATTATTTTCTTCTTAATAGGAATTTTTACATTCCTATTGCTACCGCGGCCCCTGCTTCTTCAGGTGGAACTCCAGGTTGAGGAGTTACTCGGAATGCTGCCAATATATCAGTATCNCTTTTTACCCTACATGTTTAAGATTTCAATTAATTACATTTAGCATACCAAATTACCATTTATATACCATATCTAATTAAGGTTATAATTAATGTGATATTTTATATTCCTTAATTTAAGCACTTCCGTTATTTGACAGTACTAAGTACTAATCCTCTCTTTCTCTCTCCTAACCCCTCATCCCCATACCCCCCACGTTCATTTGTACCCTCCCACGCTTATTCCTCCATTTTTCTTCTTCTGTAACCACTATCTTTACCTCTAAATTCAAACAAAATCCAGTAAACCCTACAAACAAATTCCTATCCTCATTTTTATTTACTTGAAGTTCATCAATGAAGATCAAGCAAGGTTGGAAAACGAGTCTGGCTGGAGAAAGGAGATTGAAACTCCTAATCGTGCTTTTATCATTTTGAAACTCCTGGAGAAAGGATTCGGAAAGCAAGAAACTTATCATTTTGCTTTTATTTCTGTAACCAAACGATAATTCCTAATCGTGCAGACACGTCTGGCTGGAGAAAGGAGATTGAAACTCCTCGTCGAAGAAGAAGAAGACATATTTCCAGAAATTGTAGATAAATTGTAAAAATTATAGATAAATTGTAGACTGTTTTTTGCAGAAGATTTTGTAGAAGCTTTAGTCGTTTTGGATTTGTGAAAACAGAAAACAATGCATCTACAATCAGAATACAAATAATCTACAATTTATCTACAAGATATCTACAAATTGGATACATTGAATTTTAATATCCCAATTCTCATTTTAATTGTAGCATAATTGGAATTTTCGACATAATTGTAGAAGATTTGTAGAAGTTTTAGTCTTCCCAATCTACAATTTATCTATAATTTATCTACAATTTCTGGAAATATGTCTTCTTCTTCTTCTTCTTCTTCTTCTTCTTCTTCGAGTTTCAATCTGAAATTCAGTCAAAACCAAGTCTAATCTTCACCAAAACCCCTCAAAATTGAGATATAAACTCCAAATCATATTCCCGATTATTTTCAATAACACCCAATCCAAACAAATAATGATTTTTGAAAACCCAAATTTGAATTCAAAGTTTTCAAGCTTTTTAATGGCTATCAATGGTGGAAAATATATGGAAGAATAGATGAAGATGAAGTTGAAGAACAAAAATTTCCTTTCCGTTTCAAAATTACGCAGCTTCCAGATCTCCTTTACGTTTCAAATTTCGAATTTAATTTGGAATAAATCAATCCCAGATTTTGTGGCTGATTTTTCGAGCGCAATAAATGGCAGATTCTGCCTAATAAACGATTGGTATATAAATTGTAGTTAAAGTGTGGACTGGGCGGGTAATATACAAACTATGCATATTTTTGGTAATAAGGCTTCAAATATGGTATAGTTAGGAAAAAATCCCTTCTTAATAATATAGTTCATAGAAACCAAAACCTCATGACATATTTGTTTGACCAAAAAGTGTTAAACTCTTTGATTAAACAAATTATTAATAAAACAGAAGGTAAATCTTAGCTAAATATAATCAACTTCAGATCTAGAGAAGATGGGAACTAAAATCAAAGGGACCGGGTTTATACCATGTTCTTAAGAAAGATTACAAGATGCTCAAAGTAAGACAACAAGCTTACATCTTTGATATGTTCTTCCACGTTTGTACAATCAAAGAAGATTAGGGAGGAATCTTATTGGCAACTACAGGATTCAGCATTATCGATTCATCGATGGGGGAGGCCAAGGTCCATGATCAGAAATCTAGATTTCTTCCTTTTTCTCTCAAGAGTTTTCTCTTCCGTTTCTCTTTCCCCCCTTATTCTTCTGCTTTTTCCTCTTTATATACTGTCTATTTCTCCTTTTACTCAATGGTTCTTAACCAGCGTGCCTCCTCATGACTGCACCCTTCCTCACTCTCCCCAATGTTACGTTCCGCAGTGTGAGCCTTCTGAGGACCCTATCTCGGCCACGGCCATGATACTCGTCGCCATTATGCCTCATGGGCACGACCATGGCAGGGTCGACTTCTTACCACTCCTATTGATAACCATTTGGTGAGATTTTGACCCATACAGTTAGTCCCTCCGCCCGTTAGGGTCGCCTTTTGGCGGGCTCAATGGGCGGATCCTGTCGACTCAAGAGGAGAACTCTAGACATTATGTGAGGACGGGGTCCTTATGGTGAGGTGACAACGCGATGTTTTAAGGACGTTACTGGAGTGTTACGTCAGTTCAGAGATGGATCATCATGTCGATTCAGGGTACCATGAATGGCCGTTATGTGTCATTACGGCGCACGTTTCCCAGGCACGGTATCGTTTCTCGTGCCCTTTTAGTTTTTCGATTGGCGGCTCTCGGGTTTCCCACCCAGGGCATCTGCATTTTTATAAATAGGGGGGAACCCACCATTCGATTGTCATGCTTTTCAGTTTTGTTGAGAGAATTTTACAAACTTTCACCTTCTTCAGTATTTCATACTTCTGCTTTCGTCAGAATTCAGCGTGACCATCCTCTCTTTCCCTTCCTTGCTATTGTTCGTTTTGGTCTAGACAGGCAAATGGCTGGTACTTCTTCCCAAACTACTAGATTTGTCGAACTCCGGTGCCGAAAAATGACGTACCCCTTCTTGAAGAGGAAATGGAGGTGACGGAGAACGAGGGATTTCCGACAGTGATGAGATACTACCCCGCCCGGGGAAATTAAGGACTGATTTTAACAACCCCGCCAGAAATTAACCGGAACCTTTCCCTTCCACCATGGATGAAGCAGCTATTACATCGCTCAAGGCCAAGTGGGGAATCCCCATTCATGTCGAAATGGTACCGGCGACGGGGAAGGACATCGTACATTTGCACCGTCCGGGGTACTGCGCATTTTACGCGTACCCCTTTGTTATCGGGTACACGCTTCCTCTCCCTTCTCTGGTGGTAGAATTCTGCCGCTTCTACGAAGTGTGCCCGGGCCCAACTCTCTCCGTACGCGTACAAACTCTTTCTCATGCTTATCAAGTACGCGGAGCTTGTCGGACGAGAAATTTCTTTAGGGCACATGCTTCACATCTTCGCCCCTCATTTTCTTCGGGGTACAATGATACATATGTGCCACCGAGGAACCAAGAGTTTGGTGGTAAAAATGGATGATAAGGCTAATCGCCACTTCTGGGAAAGCTACTTCTACGTGTGGATAGAATACCTTATGGCAGACTCAGCGGGGTTCTCGGAGACGTGGAACTTCGCTCGTAAGTTTTCTTTTGCTTATTTTTGTAATTCCTCTTATGGCGGTCGTCGATCGTTCTTCTTTAGGTGATACTGTTAAGGACTTGTTTTCGTTTTTGCAGTCGAGAGACTACCTCCCGTGCTAGTTGACGATATTCGCGAGTGGGTGAGCGCAATTCTCCCCCATACAATGGGGATTCGTGAGTGGGCATCCTTCCACGAGAAATATGGGCGTAAGCATCTCACTGATGAGTCGGCCCACCACAGTCTTTCCTTTTATTCTTTGTCTTATGGTTTAATCTTGTCTTTATATGATCGTTTTTCTTTGTCGACAGGAGGTTACAGAGGACGAGGGCTCCTCCGCTCGCATTCCGTCAGCCGGTGCCCCTTGCACGACCTACGTTGAGAGCCGCTGCCCGGCATGCGCCGAGAGCTGCTATCCAACCCACGCCAGCGGCCGAAACTGTTCATGTGGAGTCCACTCCTCAGCCAGAGACTTTGGTTCCTGCTGTCCGTTCAACGGGTAAATCTTCAAGCACCGGTAGTGGCGAGGCCCCGCCGAAGAGGCGACGGGTGGTATTGGAAGTGACTCCTCAGGCTGAGACATCTGCGAGGGGCGATCCTGCATTGGCGGTGCCCGAAACTTGCGATGATGCCAACCCAGCCGCAGAGGCTACGCCTGTTATAAGCGATCAATAGGTTGGTGCGGCGGAGAGACGGAATCCCGAGGCTGCCATTGCTGTTTCTGGCGGCCCTTCGACATCCCGGCCAAACCGTACTTCTTCCTCGACTGAAGCGAGGAGAAAGAGCGTTGTGGTTGATGACTACGAGTCTAAATCGACATCGATCCTGATGACGTTAGGATGTTTGAGGAGGCTTTTACCCGAATTGTGGTGAGAGCGGGAGGTCCCTCCCGAATATTGGAAATTCCGTCGGACCTCAATCTCCTACGGGAGACGGTGGATTTTGTGCTGCAATTTGACCTTCTATGCTCTGCCGCAGAAAGCGGAGCTCTTCAGGATGTCAGTGACGCTGAATTGTCATGCGACACGGCCGCGATGGGTCTAAGGGTAAGTTCCCTGATTTGGTCATTTTCTTATTTTTGCTTTGTGATCTGGATCTTTACCGACTCATTT